GGGGGCTTGGAGCTATGGTGGGTGGAACTTCTGGCCTGCTAGTACCATGAAATGATAACTTTTTAAAAAGAAACACCATTAATGTTTATTATAAGCTATTATAAAGATGTATTCTAAAAAAAACAGCTTCTTTACAAACACTGATGCACCTCCTAAAGCCTGAGGAGACTGATAAATCAATGTGATTAGCCAGTTATTAATCCTAGTGTTACTAAAATCCTTTGAGAAATGATTGAACCGAACATCTTACACAGTAGTGGACATGTTCACAAGTGATAAGCTTAGCATTGCTGCTGTACTGGACTTGTGCATGCATTTTATGGCAAATTACAGTCATGTCATTACCTAAAAATCATGTTTTTGTTTGTGTTTGGAATTAGTTGTTTTTGGGATATGCTGAATTGTTTGCCTAGCTCAGAAAATGGCAGTGAGATTATGGTAACAGCAGTGGACTGAAGCTGGCGATGAGTCAAAACAATACTGAAAATTTTCTAACTTCATTTAAATACGTGCATTTTTCATGAAACATTTTGACTGAAGAATTACATAAAAAACAGTAGCAACTAGTACCTTTTCAAAGGTCTAAATATATGATGAATAGATTACTTTTCCATTACTTGTATTTTAATGGAATACATTATTAAATACATTAAGGACTCAGCATTACTACTTATCACTACTTTCCCAAAGTATTTTGCCCAACACTGCGTATTACTGTTACATCGCCCAACCCCTATGCCTGTATCACCCAATCATAAAGAACCAAACAGTTAATAAAACCATTTGTGCACTGGTAAGTTTCCAACATCAAAAGTGACAGCAGTTCAAACAGGCACCCTGGAGGGTGGTTCTAAATCTCAGAGTCTTCAGGGAGAGTCAGGAGACACCTCAGGAGAACGATGATAAAACGAGGAATGGGTGAAGAGCAGGTGTGAGGAGCTTCGCAACCGCTGCCCTGAGGGCTTGGAGAAATGGAATCCTTACAAACACACACAATCTCCCACACAAACACACACACTCAAGCCTCTCCACTTTCAAAGACCAACCACTGCCATACATTGCTATTGAAGCCCTATCCTCTACTGCATATAAGACTGCTGTAGCCTACACGGCAAACTGCATATAAAAGTTAAAGAAGGGGAAAGGAAGGAAAAAAAAGAAGTTGAGGGAAGGAGTGGTCTCTGATTCACTGTTTCCAAGAAAATGGCTGCTTTGTGGCACTTCTGGTCTCATGATATGACACAGACAATCAAAGTACAAACACCGAACAAAAACACAACCTACTATTGACGGTCCAAATGACCATCATCTAGTTTGTCAGCAGCACAGAGCAACAGCCTTACTGTAATTATGCAATCATAAATCCCAGCACATACTATCTTAGCCAAGAAGCATTCAGCAATGCAAGCTATTCTTAAACAATTATACTGAAAGGTCAGATTTTAAATTGGAAGGAAAATGTATTATCCTTTTTGTCTTATGTACGTCATCACTGCAATAAGAAAACCTTCAGAAGTAACCTGCATTTTTTTCATCCTTTATGGGTTTTTATATTATGTGAATTCACCAGCTGCCCTTCACACTGTGTGAACATTACATGAAAAATTGACCAGTAGAAATCCTGTTGCATTACTTTATATTTAAAGAACAGAAGTTTTTCATTCCCCTGTGAAGTTTCCATTTCAGAGAGACAAGGTTGTGTTACGACAGCGATAATACGTACGGTTCTGTGCAATACTCTTAGGAACCTAAGTAAATGGTTTCAAACTATTTATTTTGGCCTTAGGTGTGTAAGTGTGCTTCACTTGTAAAACACCTTACGATCTTAGAATGAATGCAAACCATCATAAATGCATTAAAAAGTAACAGAACAATTCTTGTTTTCAAAACTGTTCTTGGTATACAGTAGATAAAATAGAAGAGCACAGGTTTGGTTGCAGATTTCCATAAATTCCATTCCCAGCAAACCTGACTTAAAACAATAAAGAATTGATTAACCAAACTAATCATATCGGGCTGCCACGAGGACAGGTTTGGAAATGCTAACACACTGACATATATAACATCACTACTTATTGTATAATATTATTGTATTAACATTGGCATTTTTCTAAGCAAATAAGTGTATAAATCTATATTTCTCAGATGCCTAAAACCCATGCACATTATTGTATGTATGCATGTATGTGTGTGTGTAAAACTGAAAGGATGATGAAGGTGGATGAGGATATGATGAAGAGGTTCACTCTAAAATGCTGTATGTACCTTGGTAACAATTTTTAAATATAACAACTTTTTGACAAGAATAACAGCTGGCATATAATTTAAAACAAGTCTGGCTCTCTAAAAAAGGCATTAATCAAATTATGGTGAAACATCTTGCATTTGTAAAGCCCAACAACATATAACAAAAAAAAAGAATTCTCGAAAATGGTCAATAATGCATGGTGGAACAAAATCATTCAGGTACACTGATGCAATGATAATTTTTTTATAATTATTTACAAAATGACAAACCTTCAAAATCTTACAAATGACCAAGGCTGACTTTCTGTGTCCCTCAAAAACAGAGGGGGTTTAAGTAGAGAAAAAAAACATAAAGAGAGAGAGAGGTAGAGAGAGATTTTTCTAGGTTGAACATGGCAGTTTTCCCCTTACATTGTGTGACAATTTCATGATGATTGAACCAATAGAAATGCCTCAAAATCAACTAGAATAAAATCTTTTTCCATAAACTTACATTAAAAGTTAAGGGCATTTTTGCCCTCTCCTGTAAAGTTACCATTTTAGAGATACTTGTTTTTTATTGGACAGCGACAATATATATATATATATGTATACACACATATAGCAAAAGAGAGAGTGCACAGTACTGAGGCTGTAGCTGACATATGTTTGACATTGGAAATGGTCTGGAGCAGGAGGAACCGGCAGTTTCTATCTAATTAAAGGCTTCGGCTCACGTGACCACGCACAGGTGCAATAACACAGGCCTGCTGCACCATGGAAGAAAGGCCTGTTTGTGTGAGGTAAGGCCTCTCACTCGCTCAGTGGGAGGCTACACACATATTCACACACTCTCACTCGCACACAGGGGATGGAACCAGGAAAAGGAATCAAAGAGGGAAAGCAATTCACTTCAATTACATTCATTAGAATCCTCTTCCTCATTTCAATTGACACAAGTAGGAAAATGAGGAGGGTTTTTCCTATTTCCCCCCATTTATTTTCTTCCTTTCTCTCCCTCTCTGACTCTCTCTCCCTCAAAAAAGACCCTCAGACTGGGGCATCTGGTAACTTTTAAACTTTTGGCCGTCTGCAAGCAGCTAATAGGCATCGATCATTCAGCAGTCGCTGCGTGCTATCAAAGCTCATATGTTTGTCGTCTCGGTGACTCATACATTTGCAGTTCTTTTGTTCAGTAATATTAAGATAAATCAAATGAGTGAGGCAAACACCATCGTTTGGTAGGAAGGGCTACGTTTACCAGCATTTCTTTGGAGCCTGCAGACATTCAGCTGTCCAAGGCTAGCCGTTTTGCTATTACAGAGGCTATCAAAATGTTGTTGCAGTACCGCACGGCTTCTGTCAGAGTGACGAAGAAATAGAGACCCGTAACAGAGCAGGCTTGGCCTGCGTTTAGGGGGATGGTGCGAACAAAACGCGAGAGCGTCTCAGCCAAGAAGGTCCGGGAAGCAGCGAGGAAATTCCAGCTGACACACACTCTGGATGGGGGGAGACACTGACGCACAGGCCAGAGCAAAAAAAACACACATCAGCGCGGCATTCTCCGTGCTGACGTGTCATCCAAAGCAACGTGCCGCTGGGAGCATTAACAGGACAGGAGTTGCCATTAGGATTTGCAGGAATCAAAGTACTGATATGGGCTCAGTTACTTCTAGATCCCACGGTACTACAAAAGACAAGTGTAAAAATGCATCTATGCACAGTGATGCACCAATTTTAGAAGCAATTATAATGGTTCAAAACAACAGTTACGTTTTGCTACCGCTAAACAATAGGGGTAAAAACGCATCAATGTGTTGTGATACACCAATAGAACCGCATCTATTTTAACTGTTACAGTCAATTATAATGATTTATAACAACACTTAATTGAGTCTTCAGGGTTTTTTGGGCACTAAAAACAAGTGTAAAAATGCTCATTCAACTGCACTCCTTAAAAATGTTAAAATGACGACAGATATTAACAAAATATGTACACATACTTTTTGTACTTTTTGTGTACTGTTTTTTTGCCTACTCCATAGCAGTGTAATCAGCTCTTCCAGTCACATTTGTGTGTTCGAATCATACTAAAACTGTCAAAAAATTTGAGATGTCATGATGCACTGAATCATGTCCCAAAACGATTCCTATCAGAATTGAGTTTTACATGAATTGAAAATTACATGTTCAGGACAGGTGACTGAAGACGTAAAGGCCTTCATTAGAAAATATAGAGAGATCAAGGCTTGATTTAGGCTTTATCATAAAGACTGCTGGTTCTGCTGGTGAGAGATGTTAGTTATTCAGCTTAGAAGTGACTAATTACTATTGTATTATATTACAGAGGACAAAGTTTGCCCTGTCAAAAGTACAGATGGCTATTGTTGCATATCAGCTTCTTTGGAAATATGTGAATGTTTGCTTGCTGGCTGTAGGATATTTACTTAATGTGCACTTCTGATAAGGTAGAAAAGCCAGTGATAATGCCTAACCAGAGGGGTGAGGAAATACACAGTGTACACTTAAAGCCCTGCGATAATGAACTTGCGCAATGAGTGGTGACATGCTATATGGATTACAGTGTGCAATGTAAACTGCACAGTTTGCTTCTCATAAAAACCACTTGGGTGTTTATACATTACACAAGCAAAGAAATTGCACAAGACACAACTAACGGCACAACAACAGCCTTCCTGATTTAAGAAAAAAAAGCAGTGTGGGGTGTAAAAAAAAACTCTCTCTCTCACACACACACACACACACACACACACCTGCTGCTGTTGAAGGTGCAGTAAATCCACAGGGCTGATCTCGCCATTGGTGTCGCCGTTGGACCCGCCCTCTCTTCCTCCGCCCTCCGATTGGCTGCTCAGACTGCTGACTCCATTTTGATTGGAGGATGTTGTTCGAATGGTCTCAGTTGCTGATTCCACCATCATCACGTGGCACCTGTGGGTGAACAGGGACAAAGAGGAGGAGGGTTAAGCTGGCTGGGGGGGTTTTAAACCAAACAACGACTAAATGACCATGAACGATTGCAATTGCTGAAGTCATAGCTCTGGGCATGTTCAAGTCTCAGCAAGCAAACAAGTTTCGCAACAAGCGCAAACACACAACTCCAACCAGGAACACAAATTGCATTCGCTGCATGCCACAGCCCTTGACAATGGAAGCCTTCTGTGCACTACACACATTTCTCAGGCAATCTGAAGAGCGTCCTACAAAATGTCACATCTGCCAACCTTGAAAACACTCAGTAAACATGTTGACTGCCACTCTTTCAATTGGAGAGGGCCAAGATACCACCTGAGCCTCTTAATGACCTACACAATTGAAATATGAGGAAGACTTCAAAAGCTACTGGGATGAAGGTCTGACAGAGGTCTTCTTGGAGAATGCTCCTGCGTGGAGTGGAGCGCAGAAGCATCGTGTTGATCAGAGCCCTCCCAATGGGGGCGGCACGCTTCTCTTCATGCAAAAGGTTACCACACACAAGCACACAAACGCGTCTATTTCTGAGCATTGTCTCTTCGGGTACTTTGAGACAGATCTCCTGCGACAAACACCAAAGGTCCCTTTTAATTAGAAATCAATTGGGCAACACGCTCAAACAAAAAAACAAAACCAACCACTCCCGCACCTGCTTGTTGGTTGTTTTTTTTTCCTGAGATTGGGAAAGAAAAAAAAAACAGCATGTTCAATAACGCAGGAATGCAGTGGTGGAGGTTAAGAAGAGGGGGGAAGAGCGTGGGAGAGGAACGAAGAGAACAAACTGCTGGGGCGCGTGATCCATAACAAAAAACCTTCAAATGTGCGAACGGGGCCCTGTGTACCTCTTCTCATAACAAGCAGGAGCTCGTCTTTCTGCCTCTTCCAGTTTTAAAAATAAAGTTTTTTTGTTTTGTTTTGTTTATGTCTTTGTGTCTCTGCAAACCTGGGCTCGTCGAACAAAATGCCACGAAGGCATACCGCCGATGATTAGCTTCTGGGAACGAGGGCAAATGTTTCATTAGTAGAGAGAGAGTGAGAATGAAAGTGAGAAAGACAAGAAGAAGATGAAGAAAAAAAAAAACTCGAGGTGAGAGCCTGACATTTCCTTTGTCAAAACGCCAATAGATTTTCATTTAGAAAAATAAAAGGGAATGGAGGGAATAATACAGGCCATAGCAGGCTCTGTTTGTTGTGGGAGCAAAGTTATTGGTACATAGTGCAGCCCAGCACTTGTGGCCAGCCACAACAACAGCTGTGAAGCTCAAAGATAGACAAGGGCGGCTTCTCCTCCTCCTCCTCTCCCACTATGTCGCCCAGTCTGTGAAATCCTGAAAGTGTGTCAAAACGAGTCTTGGCTCTTGAGACCCCTGAAAAGTAGGTAGCTTTCACCGCGTCAGATTTCAACACAGTAAAAGCTCCATAAACCATGTCATTCAAACACACCTGGTGAAAGTTTGGCTGCTCCAATAGGAGCCAAATGAAGCGTTCATGCTTAGCCGCCAAGGGATGCAGGCATATCCAGCACTTATAGGGGACTGCAAACCAACATGAGGGTGGTTTGACTGCGGATAAGCCTCAAGACATCAGTGGTTAGCGTGTGTTCAGCCCACATTGCAATGTTTTCATTCTCAAGATCTGTTTCTTTCAGTTGTTCCTGAAAGCTTCAGCATCTTCCAGACATTGTTTCCAAAAAAATCAAATTTACACAACTTCCTCTTGCCCCAAGACATGTATGGTGTTCTGAGTTTTGTACTTTGTACTGAGGTCAATGTAGCCTGCCTCTCCAGGCTTACACCTCACCAATTAGCATTGCTCAAATCATCACACACTTGTTATCATATTGTTAACTGATCTCAAATAGACTTGATTGTGATCTCTGATACTGTATGACAAACTTATCTATTACAATTATAAACGTATAAAAAAAATTAAGGCTTCAAGATGAGCGTGTAGAAAATTTAGGTTGGCCTATTTTTGTACATTGAACATTTTTATTATGCAATTTCAGAAACATAACCAAATCTATATGAGATTTCACTATGATTTCAATGATTGAGGCTAGCAGCTTACATAATGCTAACTGTTGATTTAAAAGCTGGCATTACTTGTTAGCTTCATTAGCCTCGTAGCTCTAGCACAACACTAAAGAAATGAACCAAAGAAATACCAAACATGCTATGATAGCATCATGACATCTGGGTTAAGAGAAAAACTGCATAAATTTGATTTCTCTTTTGTTTTAAATACTTAGTTTAAATACGACAATAAATACTTATGCTCATCCGGAAAAAGACCTTTGTTTTGTTTCTAAAGTCTCTCCATTCAGAAGGTGCCATAGAGCTGTCCCAGGATCTTCCAATCCAAAGGGTTTTCCTGAGTGGCCGACAGGTATGCAGGGACAACACTGGCAGATCAGCCAGCGTGACAGGGCCGCACAGAAGCAGCTGGAGGTGTAAGCATGCATGAAGCCTTGTCATATCCAGTAATGGGCATATATTGCAGCTATAATGGGAGGTCGTGAAAAGAAGCAAGCCGATAAATCAGCAGCCGGGAACCACTGATTATGGCCGGGAGATGGTAGTTTGCAGAGTCTTGTAATCGTTTTTGGCAGGCTAGGCCAGCCCGGTGGTGGTGTTGAGGCTTGCTGCGTCTCGTTCAAGAACCCCCTCCAAACCCCTCCAGGTGAACTTTGACCTTGGAGAATATAGAAAGATGCATTCTTTCTCCCAGGGGTGTAAGCAGGGGAAGGAGGGATGGAAGGTGGGAAAAGGGGGGGCATTCTTCTTCAGATCTAAGAGATAAAGAATGCATTTAAGGGGCAAAGAGGAGGGGGAGCTGAGCAAATAAAAACGCACGTTTGCCTTTTAATTGGACGGAAGAGAAATGGGACCGAACTTGCCTTTGCTTCAGGGACTCAAAATCAGCTTGCTATAGATTAAAAAAGGAAAGAAAAAAAAATCAAGCAAAACCAGCGTCTTCCTGGCATAGTAATATGTAACGCATTTGCCCATGCGCTGTGAGATTTTTAATTTCTCTCTTTCTATTTTTTTCTTTAAACTTCTGATATCAGCACATTTTCCTTGGCACTTAGACGAAAGGGTGGAGGGGGACTGTGATTCATTCTCTATCCTGTTTCTGCAAGTACAGAAGGCTGCAACAAGCAAACCTTGGAAGCTCTTTCTAACTGCCTGTTAAGAAGTGTTTATACTGCTGATACTGAGAGTTGCTAAGGTAAGGTGGCAACCAAGGAATAAATACCTGCCTGAGTTTTGGTCGCATTCCAAAAGTGCTCATCTGCAGCGAGAAAACTGGAAGTTTTGCCAGTTTAGACGCCTTTTTTTTCATCGTGCATTGTAATTTAGGGAAGTCAAATACGCAAACAAGCTCAGGAAATGGTGAAACGAACCACAACTTATATCATTTATGACTAAATGTTGTGCTTCCCCGAATGAGACATTTTCTGTTGCTGTCTGAGGCCTGCAGACGCCCAGGCGTTCAGATGTTTTTTTTCCCCTCTCAGTTTCTCTCCCTCCTCATTTTCTCACTCTCATTGATCCTACACATCATGTTTGTTCACTTCCAGTTAACCTCACTCACTCTCTCTCTCTGGCCCTGTGTTTCCCTGCAGCAGCAGCAGCAGTTCCTGTGCTTCGGGCAGGGGCTGGCTGCTGGCACTGGAACAGACGGGCCAAAGCCGAATGGTGGGTGTCTGAGCCAGGTAGGCCAAGGGGCGGGAGGTCTCCCTGAGGGAAAAATCTCCAACAGGTGGGCCATCATTTCACACCCTCCCCGAAATGCAGCCGCTCCGGAGATAGCCATCGGCTCCCAGGTAGCTGAAACAGGCAGAGGTGAGAAGCAGATGCTCTTTATCCTCCCCAGATCCGATTTTTGTTGCTTTGGGAAACATTGATGACAAAGCAGACATTAATACACGCCTTATGAGCGGTACGTATGAAAGGTCTGCCTATCATTTCGTCTCACAGAACTTTATTTATCCCCTTGAGGCAATCTGTTTCAAGTCATATAAGTCACTAAAGAGGTAGAGAAGCACACGGTGTATTGATAACCAGAGAAGACGGTACACATAGAACAACTCTAGCCAGTAGCTCAAACTAGTTTTAACCACCTGCAGGCCAAAATTCCACAATGTTGTACGACGTGTTCATTGAGTGACATCTTATTTGTTGAGGTTTTGCTGCATCCAAAGATATAATACTTGAAAACGTCAAAAATAACTTTCATACGATACAAAAAAGCAAAGTTATTAATGCCGGTCTGAAATGGTTTCAGTTTATAATGTTCTCTTAGACGAGTATCAAGTTAAATATATTTAACCTACAGAGGTCTAGGGCTATTACTGTTGTTTTACTGTACTATTTAAAGTTTCCAAATTTTTTAAGTCAAACTGGAAAGAATGAACATGTTCTCCAAATAAGCATAGCCTTTCCTCCAAAACCATAAATACACTGCAGAAAAGAGTGCTAGTGCTAACCAACTTAAGTAGCTTTGTCTTAGGTAGCGAAATAATGAAGTACACTTGAATGATGACAAGCTCTAGGGCCTTGGCACAGGTACTGGAAAACTGTTCAAGCAGAGTCGAAGAGGAAGTAAATACCGAAGCTCCATCTGAACCTCTACGGCTGAGTACCGGTTCCTCAATGCTCCCATGGGCTGAAGATTGAAGCTGGTGGATTGCACGAAGCAAGCCCAGACTTTAGATCTAGTTCTGTTCCAAAACAAAAAGTCCAAAAGTCCCACTAAAGCTCTCCTACTTCCGCACTTTCAGCCCGGATCACCCCGGACACTCAAGAGAAAACAAGAAGCAGCCACTGCATACAGACCAATCTTTACTTAAATTACATACAATTTAAACTGAAAGTTTTTTATGAATCTATGATAATTGATGGAATCGTCTAATGCACATTGAAACCCTGATCATTTTATTGCACATGAGAAGT